CGCACAGGTCGCCGTGTGGATGCCGGATATATCCGGCGCTCGTACGCCAAGTTGCCGCGCGGATGCCGGATCCGGCGCCCGAAGCGAAAGGGTTAAGAACGGTGGACAGTCGCTGGATAACGACTCGCGAGGGAGGTGCCCTTTGAATTCTACTACCGATGAGAATGTCAAACGCCTGCACATCGTGCTGTTTCGTAATCGGCAAATTACAGCTGAAATGTTGTCAGAGGAACTGAACATCAGTGTAGAAAGCATTCACCACATTTTGTACGATGTTCTCAGGAAAAAAAATGTGTGCGAAGTTCGTTTCGCATTTGTTAAACAAAGAACAGATACTCGTAACACAATTTTTGGCCCAACAGTTGGTTACGACGATTTACCACCTGCCCTATTCTGCAGATTTGGCTCTACCAGACTTTTTTCCCTTAAATGGAAAATAATGATAAAGCAAGTACGCGTTAAAGATGTTAACATGTTCCGTACCACGTGTACCACCGGTGGTACACGGTAAACTTGATCGTCAGGCCACGTGTATCACTGGTGGTACACGCAGTCATATTTATTCAATGCGCTGAAAACATATTTTATTACAAATATAATTCTGTAAACTATATTTCTACCTAAAAAATGAAGCATTATACAAGATGCAGTATAGAACAAAAGAAAAAAAGAATTACTTATGTATTGAGGATGTAATGAAATATTGTATGATAATATATTAATCTTTAGTCAAAATATCAAATGGCCTGAACGACAAGTCAGGCAAAAATGGCTTGGCACGGAACGTGTTAAGGCGATGTAAAGGAATGTGACCAGGGCTCAGAAAAGAAGTTCTCCAGGTCATTCTAGCGGCTGTACGAGCGCGGCAAAATTTGTATAGAATAAGGAGGGGATTATGTTCAAAACTAAATAAAAATTTTTTCTGAAGTTTTTTTTCTCATAAAAAAGTTAGTCCTGGAACTTTTTAAATGAACTATATGTAACCAATTTTTCTGAAAATTCATTGTCAGCCGCTTCAGTACGAATTGGCTGATTGAAGAAGAAATTAGACACCTTTTCTACATACAGCATAATATACGCAAATATAAAAATATACAGGATGTTACCTGTAACGCCACTCACGATTTTTCTCCCACTTGCAGCCACCTTACGAAAAAAAGTTTGGAACAATATTTGCAGGGTATGAAGTGTACAATAGATATTAGTAAAACAAATTTTGAAAACAGTTTGTTCTCTTCGCAAAGTCAAGATCACCTTGGGCTTTTTAAATAGGAACATACATTTTTTTTTATTCATAGCTTTAGAGGACATCGAGACGAATTCAAAACATATATTACATGATATTTTTATTAACATATTACTCGATGTACAGAAGTGGAAAAATGTAAAGTACTTAGCTTTTGACTTTGGTAGGGTAACCATTATTTGGTTCCAAAGAGATTACTGAATGTAAACACGCGACTAGAATATAAGAAAAATACACTTTATTTAATTACATGTTCAAAATGTATGCCGCCTTCC